ACTCGTGGTATAATCTACTATTAACAAGGATGTATGTTTTAAAATTGATTCTGGTGCAGATGAAACTGTGATAACTACAAAAACTTACAGGAATCTTAACAAAAACAAAGATTTAAATTTGAAGCCAACAGAAACACGGTTGATGATGGGTCCAGGTGATTCAGAATTAAAGTAAAAGGTGTAATTAAAGTGCCAGTTATCTATAATGGTGTTAAAAGGCATGTCAAAATGTTTATCGTGAGAACCAGTGAGAATTTATTAGGTCGCCCCGCTATTGAAAAATTAAAAATGATGCAGTGGGCTGTGGAAAATGTCAATCAAGTAATTAATGAAAATGAGAATAAAAATCTATTAATGAAATCGGATTTAAAAGAAAAATATGGTAAAGTACTGGACTTGGCAAGTTAAAAAAATTTGAATATTCTATTAAAATGAAAGAAAATGTCGAAGTGACAGTACAAACACCCAGACGCGTTCCTGCCTTTATTGGAGACTATACGGTTAGAGCTTAATGATATGTTAAAAAAAGGTGTTATTAAGGAAATCTACGAAGCTACAGAATGGTGTTCCCCGATGACAATAGTTAAAAAAATCAATGCAGTAAGAATTTGCACGGAATTTATTGAATTAAATAAGTTTGTTATCCGAGAAAGATTTGTTTTGCCAACTGTATAGAAGAAACGGCAGCACAGTTGCAAGATGCTATTTTTTTTCAAAATTAGATTGCAATAAAGGATTTTCGCAGTTAATGCTTAGTAAACAAAGCCGAAAATATACTACATCCATAACATCATTCGGCAGATTTGTTTATAAAAGATTACCTTTCGGCATTTCCAGTGCTCCAGACATTTTTCAGACAACTTTGAAGAACGCTTGCACGATGTGATTGTTCATGCGGATGATATTTTGGTTAAAGGACGTACCATTTCTGAACATAATAAAAGTTTACAGAAAGTTATGTTATGACTATTTCACTAGAGTGTTTTACACTGGCAAAATGTCATAGGAACGGCCGGTTTCCTACTGACAAAACTTCTACCTACCTGTTCCTACCTGGGCAAAACCAACATGATGGTTTTTCAGCGACAAAATTTTGTGTGGTTAATGTAAAAAACTATTGAGTTTGACAAGTGTCACCTAAAGAAAACGAATTTTCCAAATGAAAATTTGGCTTGTTTTTCTCGTGAAATAGTCCAGCCGAATACCACAAGAGAAAAAATTTTGTTGGAAAAATTTTCGACTGGTATGAAAGTTTGTTGCTTGGCAATTTCGCGAATGACATTTTTGACAAAACCACGAGCCGCCAGGCGGGTGGTTTTGTCAAAAATTTCATTCAAGAGAATAATTTTGCCTACATAATTTTTTCTTGAGTGGTATTCGGCTGGACTATTTTACGAGAAAAACAAGCCAAATTTTCATTTGGAAAATTCGTTTTCTTTAGGTGACACTTGTCAAACTCAATAGTTTTTTACATTAACCACACAAAATTTTGTGAAAATATATATGACAATTTTACAAAAATGTGGACTTACATTAAATTTTGAAAAATGCGAAATCGGTATGAAAGAACTTAAGTATTTGGGAGTATGTATAAGTAAAAATGGAATAAGGCCAGATAAGTCAAGTATAAAAGCTATCATAAACTATGTTGCACCAATAAATAAAACAGGAGTAAGAACGTTTTTGAGAATGTATACATATTTTTCAAAATTTACTAAAGATGCATCTTCAAAATCGAAAGTTTTAAGAGAATTACTACACGGAAAAAATAGTTTTCTTTGGAATGAAAGTCATGAAAAATGCTTTGAAAATCTAAAACATGAAATTATTTCAGCACAGTACTTGCCAATTATCAGACTAATTTTCCTAACAGAATAAGTGCAGACGCTAGTGCATATGGGATCGGAAGAATGTTGGAACAACAACAAGAAAATGGATTATGGTGATGCAGAAAGAAGATATGCACAAATTGAAAAAGAAACATTATCATTAACCTGGACAACAGAGGTTAGAACAATTTTTGTTTGGAAGAAGATTTACTATAAGAACTGATCACCAACCTTTGCTAAGAATACTTAAAGATAAGCCAATTGGCCAATTAACGACTAGATCACAACGTTTTCGTATACGTCTTATTATGAAATTCGATTATGATGTAGAGTATGTTCCTGGAAAAGAGTTTTATTATCCAGATGCATTATGAAGAAGTCCTTTAGATGAAAGTCAAAATGATAAAGATATTATATTAACAAACGTCTTCATTATAGACTCAATATCAAATGAATTTAGCACATGGTCAACTCAGAATTTAGTACGACAGATTTTCGACTACAACAAGAACAAGATGAAGTTTTCAAAATGGTGAAATCATATGTGGTCAGTGAGAATGTTTAAAGAAGATTTTGCTGTATTATAGTTGACGAAATTTTAACATATCAAGATCGAATTGACAATACCCTTGACAGTAAAATTGGCTGGTTATAACTTTTTTATTATTAAAGCCTAACTTTTAGCCCAATCCTTCTAATTCGAGGCAACATTTACTTGTGTGCAGCTCCTCGGTTGCCCGGGAGCGAGAAGAGTTCTTCCTATGTTTGTGCTATCTGTCTAACTAACACACTCTCTACTTAAGAAAAAAAAAAAAAATCCAATAAAATAATGATGAATAAATAATATAACAACACATAAAACAGCAAGTTCCAGGCAAGTAGTCCATTGGAAAAACAAGAGAGGTTTCCAGAAAAGAAGAAAGAAGTAAAGGAGTGGAAGAGAATTAGATGCTGTGGGCGGTTTCGAGCCGAGATGTCCTATGGGGCAAAACCAAAAAAGAAAAAAAAAAATGAAAAAATTTAAACTTCTATCGATTAGAAAAACCAAAATTCGAAAATATAAAAAAATAAATAAAATTTCGAAGTTTTTAAAAGGGTTTCGCCGTAATTAAAAAATATATCACAATTAATATATTCTGGCCGATTTCTAATAATCCTTAATGAATCATTAAGAACTATTTCATAACTTCTATAGAACCGCCAACCTGGCAACATTTTATTGTATTATGTCTTTATTGAAAATTTTCAAGTTAAGTCCCGACACAAATAGAATATTTGAATTTCTACCAGATATTTGCGAACTGCTAATATTAATTATAGATAGGTTAGCTAGAATATTTACCTTGAATGGATTCAGATGGTCTTAAATTGACTTAATAGATATCTACCTACATTTCAACTATTTCTGGCTGACATGGAAAAGTAGAATTGGTAATTCTAACAAAGAGATTATGGACACTAATTTGGTATTTGGTCATTGTTCAATTGTAAAAATTCCATAATAAAATGCCTATAATAAAGCCAATTCTCACAGGAAAAAACTAAACTAAAAACCTTTTAGGCTAATGAATGGAGACGCAAGGTGAATTGAATAAATTTATTGTGGGAAAATTATTAAATATATCATAAATAGGGAAACACATTACCCAGTTTTTTGTATGTTTCTATAGGCTTGTATATGTGTCCAATTAACTAAATTAGTTTTTTAGTCTACTTTTTGTGTTTGAAAAACTAAACATCTACACATTTTGTTGGGAAACAATTCTATAAATGTTTTAATCAATCTCATTTTGACATTAAAAGTTTCATTTAATTTTTATACGTGGCTTTAGATAGATTTTATTTTAATTAATTCACCGTAGAACAAAGAGAAAGGTATAGATCTTAAATAAAATTGTATAAGGAAATATCAGAAGCTGATTTCTGCACGGATTTAAAATATTTCTGACTAGTGACTGGGGCTTCTTAAATCAAATTAGGAATACCTAAATATTTTTACAATTAACGAGTTAAACATGGAAATCCTTTAAAAATACTTTCAGACCCTTTTCCGCCTTACGATATTCCAGTGGATTAATTTAAGAAGATTATTGTAAGTAGGTACCTACTTTTATGAAAACTTCAAGCAAAATTAAAAGTTTGATACAGTGTATATCCTCAATTATTTTAGAAAATGATTTAGATTTAGTGTGTAATAAAACGGTAGTTTTTAATGGAAAATGGGATTTACAAAAGGAAAGGTTTTAATTTAAAAGATCGAGTTGGAACTACCTGACCAAGATTAAAATAACGCCTCAATAAAGCTGAAAACAAGTAATTTAGAAGTTTCTAGAGCACGTTTAGGGTGTAAACTTGAACAAGAAAGAATTACATCAAGATTCTTTAATGAATCTTGCAATAAAAGTCATTTAAAATACTATTGTCGTATACAGGGTGTTGATGAATACTGGGATCAAACTTTTAGGATAAATAGTAGGTACTCATTTAAATTAAAAAAAAATAATAATAGAAAAATAGGTCCGCAAATATTTAAGTATCGAGATACAGGGTGTCAAACTTAAAAAAAAATGTTTTTGTTGCTCAAAAATAACTTTGCCGATTTTCTTTAATTTTGGCAGGTTTGTTTGTAAAAACAAAAGGTATCTTGTGACTCATCTCTTGATTTTTTTTCGTATCTCTCTTCTTCATCGAAAAAAAAAACAATCTGGGGTACCACTGGAATAATTAGGTTGAATCCTTTTGTTTTCACAAACACACCTGCCAAATTTGAAGAAAATCAACAAAGGGATTTTCGAGCACAAAAAAAATTTTTTTTTCAAAGTTTGACACCCTGTATCTCTAAAACTAAGCATTTACAGACCAATGTTTCCGTCAACTTTTTTGTATTTAATTGAGTATTATTTAGCCTAGAAGTTTGAGCCCATTATTAATTCATTAACACCCTGTATTATTACATATTAATAAAATCAGTCAGTGCCTTTTGACTGAAAAAGTTATTGTTCAAGCTATAAGCTATTTGTATTTTATATACAGGTACATATTTTGAATCTTGTGAAATGATTTTTTTTATTAATGTGAGAATCAAGATTTTTAAGATGTTTGCAAAAAGTTATAAATGAAACACTAAAATTGTTAAAATTCAGTAGGTATTATAAGGATAAGGGCTCTTACCTCTCTTCTAGTTGACTAGCAAACTGTTGGACGCGCTCTAAACTTTTGAAGTTTTTGTATGGAAATGCGGAACGTGGAGAGACATGCGCCTCAATTTGCCCGCTCCAAAGGAAAGGAAGGATTATATATGTATACCCATTCTGGGAAAACAAGTTTTTATTTTTTCGGTATGTGGGTGTTTGTGACCAATAAAAATGTCTAATAGCTCTAGCACTTAACTAAATATGCATGAGCTAATTATTTTCTAATTCCAAAATACACTTACTTAAGGTTAAAAAAATATATAGGTACCATAGAAAGATACTGAACTTATATATATTCCTAGAATCCTCCTACTTTTCATAAATAAAGTTACGATTTTATTATAGAGTGCAGTCAATATGATGTAAAAATTCCCTTGACCTGGGCAAAATTGTAACACAAATAATTCTTTTTACATTCTATTGTGGAAAGTGTCTTTTTTAACATATCCAAAATCCCCATTAGTCCCGGCAGAGGTAGGAAATCAGTCAAAATCCAAGAAGACGGCTGAATTTTGTATTTCACATTACAAAATGTATAGCTGTGAATAACTAGGTGTAATTTGGCAAAAATGTTTAAAAAATAGGTATTGAATAGGTAAGGTAGGTATTGAATCACTCAAATTGCCTATTATATATTAGAGAAAACTTTATCACACATTAGACTTACAACTACAAGAAAAAGAAAACATTATTTCAAAGTACCTATGGATTATTTTCCATTATTGAACAAAAATTAGAATGAATTGGCTGTTTTTTTCACAATTCATCATATTCTTCATCTGTACTTTCCATTTCTTCATCTTCTATTCGCTGCGGACTATTTTCAGAATTTGTTTTTTGACACTGACCACATGAACTGGTACATTCTAAACCATTCTTCCGTCATCTACATTTCATGGCACCAAAGCCAGTTTTACAATAACATCTTACTATGCGCATTGTTTTCGGTATAAACATATTATCATATTGTATAGGTACTCCATCCCCAGTCTTTTGGGTCCAAGCCTTCTTACATATAAAAATTTGCAAATATGCACGGAGGCTATGGTACTTGACAGCTGATTCCGTTGGGGAAAGGTTCTGTGGCTGAACGAAACATTTTGCCTTCGATACTTTATAGTTTTATACCTAAGTGTTTTTAGTTTATCATCTGGATTTACACTAAAAATACATATTATCCTCTTTCCAAATTCTTCAACCTGACTGGGATTAAGGTTTGTTGAGCCGAACGATAGTGTAAGTTCACGAAAGTGTTGATCTTCCACAACACTTTTGAAAATTGATTGATTTCCAATATGGAAGATTCTGGAGGTGCTATCACGTCCTGTATATGAATGTATAGAAAATAGACTGTTCGCTAAGTCATTTCCGAGCGAATATCTAATGGCATAGCTGTCATATACCTATGTCATTCTGTTTGGAAGTTTTTTATCACTTCTGAAAAACAGCTTGTGGTATGCTTGATTACACCAATAAATCAGCAATACCAATAGTTCAGTGTCTTCATCTATCACTTTGTATTTTTGAAGATTCCGCTGCAGTTTTAACAATGTCAACATCAGTATCATCAACTGCATGAATTACTGAGCATCCATGTTGTCGTATTTCTTCAGCGATTAGAGTAATTATTTTCCGATTGTTTTCCTTATTAGTAAGAAACATTTACTTACTTCCTGTGAATGTCGTATCTGGTGTGAAGTTCACGGAGGGGAAAATTCTATTTGTTCGGCGATTATGGGTCTTTTATTGTGTATTCTGATGTATAGCCATCAAAAACAACAGCTGCTGGCCCATACAACAAACGACTTATAACATCTTGCTATATCCCTGGAATGTACTGTCATTTCGCCATGGCAGGCGATGCAGTAAGGACCCTCCATCAAGCACACAACTTGATTCACCTTATCCCGCTTTTGAAAATGGCTGAGAATAATTTGAAGTAACATGCGCGATCATCCTTGATATCTTTGGTTTGTCTGCTTTCAACAGTACTGTTGAACTTTCACATAACGCAGGTAGAAAGGAAGGAGCACAGTTCATATTTCATTACTTCCGCAAGATCAGGTTCACTGGAAGAAGATGACATAATCAATTGCTGAAATAACAGAGCTGGGTCAATAGTGGCCTCTTTGTTCTTGAACCTAATGAATGATACAGAAGAAATTGGCCCTTCATCTTTTCCACAATGTCCATACCAGGTTTTAAATGTATCGACATTCACTTGTTCAGCTGTTGGGACACCAGTTACAATGTTTCGCAAAGCTAGGTCGTTTAAATAAGGTGAAATCGATCTCAGTAGCTCAAGTAGGTACCCATCTTATCTGACTCCTCCGTGCCGTGTCTCGTTTCATTCGAGGTTGCGCCAAATCTTTATGCTGTTCACTAGACTCGTATACAACGTTTGTTAGCTTTTGCATTGAGCTATTGTATTCCGAATACACAGGCATTAACAGCATCCAAGTGATTTTTCATATTTCGGATATACCCCTACCTCTGGTGAGATCTCCACTTGTCTTGAGTGACCTCATTAAATACTGCTCAATTACTAAATCAGCTAGCAATCTCACCCATATTTTATCAGTACGTCGTATCACATGTCAACCTTTATTGAAAACTGCATAGATTTCAGGATGCATGCTGTGAAGTTCAGTCATGTTCTGTAAGTGAAAGTAAACTGATTTTGTATAATTAGTATGCCCAGCTGCAGCAAAAATGGGCAGGGCCTCTGTAAGACCTTCAAGTAGCATTGGAAATGATCCTAAACGATATGCAGTAATGAGTTTACGAATGGTAGCTACTGCAGATTGATATTCAAGCCAAATGAGGCTAGTTCTTGAGAAAGATCTTAGCTCGCTCTTTTTTGAATCTAATACATTACAAACTTCTCTCAGATATTCATTGGATTCTAATTCCTTCCCATGTATACTACCTTCCATAAAATTGTCATTTGTTTCGAGTAAATGATTAAAGATAACAGATATCTCGCCTTTATCACTTGGAAATGAATATTCGATAAGGTTGGTATGTGAAACGGCATCAACTATAAGGTATCCTGTAATTGCTCGCGAATACGCCTTGCCACTGATTAAATGAGGGACTGCATATATCATTTTAAAAACTCCGGAAAGACCAGAACCTACCATTAGTGAACCTACTGCACCCAACAAATTCATAATTGTGTGAAATTTTCCAATTGTAGGACAATTGATTTGAGTTCGTCATATTCCGGCTTAATCATGGAAGCTTGCCAGATCAATGGCTGATCAAAAGTTATGATAGCTGGATGTGGTTCTTATTAGCGAGGTCGAACAAGAATTTCAACGTAATGTCACTCGGATTCAAATCAATCATTGGTAAAAATTTAACCACCGCCTCTGCGGGGTGATTTATATCTTCATTCCGAAGACAACTTGCATCGTACTAGACCATTGTGCTCTACATGGTTTCGAAAACCCAGAAATTTGCCAAATGCGATCTAAAAAACAATTATTTGGTGCAATGAAAGGTAGATTAGCAAAGACTGCACTTTTCAAAATATGTACCTATGTGATGATGCTCTGTACTCTTGTATGTTGATCTTTCCTAGCTGGAGAAGTTCGGCATTTTTTATTTTTCGCTTGGTAACTGCAGTAGACGTTTGTGAATATGGTGAAACTGCTGCAATCATGCCCATTACATGAACTGCGTGTTCTTTCCATCCAGTGTGTATGAATTATGATAAAGGTTGTCTCCTACCATAACAACATGTGAGTTGTTTTGAAGTGATGATGAAGTGGACGAAACAAAAATTGTAGAGCTTCATTGTAGGATGCTAAAAATCCCAGGGCGTGAAGCGTGTCTATGAGGTATCTTGAACGAAAATGATGATGTAGTTGAATAGTTAGTCCTACTTGACATAGGGGGGTTAATATTGACCTGGGCCGAGCACAATGCATTATACACTGACCAATTAGGGATACTTTCAGATTTAAATCCTTACCAACAAAAGTCTTTGAAAGCAGAAGTCTGAGTGAGTTTGGCAAGTAATTTAGATCTTCAGTAATGTTAAGGTTTTTACTTCTAGGGTATATGTCACTGCTAACTGCTAGTTGAATGTTCAGACTTAACGTCACTTTTGATTATCTTCGCAGCTGCTTCTAGGATAAGGATCTTTTGTAGCTCGACATCGACAGCTTTATCCTTTCTATAATACTGCCTGAGAATATCATCAGGACTTTCACGCAGTGTTACTTTATCTGTTAGGCCCTCACTTCCAGAGAGAATTTCGTCCAAATTGTTCAATTAGCTTGCGCTTCATATGCTGACTCATCAGATCCCTCCAAAAACTTTTCCATGGCACTTATAAGATCTAATATCGTTAGCTGCTCCTCGTCGTTACTTTGAAAATAGCTGCATGTTTGCAAAAAAGCTACGCGAAGGTCAGCTATGAAATATTGTATACGTCTAGTGACTGAAAATGCCCATTTATCTGATCGGTCTCTAATGCACTGTTCCATAGTTTCACCGAAATTCATTGTTCTAACTTCTTGATGTTCATGTGGGGACCATTTTCATTAGTAAAATCTACAATAATTGTTTCACAAAAGTGGCATTGAACTTTGGAATCATAATTTTGTGTGCTCAAGCGATTGGTGCTCTTAAGAACGGAAGCAGTTGACTGCATTGCATTTCCTCTTATCAGTAAACCTATTACGACAGTCAATAGGTAGTGGTTTTATTGGTATCAATTTCTGTATATTTTTTTTTTCCAAACGTCAAAAAAACGTCACTTTGTTAACCCCTGTCAAAATGTCAGAAATTTGATTTCTATGCTACCAGGCAAATCCAGCGGGCTAACACCTGTCGAGGTGGTAGAAGGTTTAATTTCTATGCTGCTTGGCAACCCCAGCAAAAGTACTTTTTCTCCGAATGACAGTAAAAGCGGCCTTTTAATGACACTTGACAGGCTCAAAAGTTGTATTTTTACTGCCTAGGCAGTAAAAGTGGACTTTTACTGCCTAGGCATTAAAAGTGACAGTGTCACAACGTTCCAGGTAATAATTTCACTCAATTTGGTATTTGAAATTGATGGTGACAATGACGATTGTCAAAATAATTTAATTATTTGGATAATAATAATGAATGAAATAAATATAAAAAGATGTCCATGTGTGAATTTGAACATTCGGAGAAAAAATTATATGTTTTACATGGCAGAAAAGCAGATTTAATGCCTCGCCATTAAATCTTGTACTTTTCTGCCTAGTGAAACAAATAACTATTTAGTGCCGCTCGTACTTTTACTGCCGCTCAACCATCCACTTGCCCCCGACCTTACCCCATTAGTTTGGAGAAAAAATAGCGTGTTGCATACGGAGTAGAAGCACTTCTTTGTGCTTCAGCAGTATTGCATGCCTCACTACGTTCGGCTCGCAAACCTACTGCTTCAGCACAAAAGAGTAAAGCTTCTACTCCTATAATACAACAATATACTATTTTAAATATAATCTGTAAGTACCTACTAAAACTAGCTCAAAGTGCTATTTTATAGAGGCAATTAAACTGGACAAGCTTTCATAAACATTCAAATAATGTAATGACAAACCTTTCTAATAAATTAAATAATCTGCATAGCAAATTAAATTACCATTTTTGGAACTTAGCCAAATAATTTTTTTTTTCAGGGACCTACTCAATATGCAAGGTGATTTACATAGCCCGTGCATTAGATTGCAGGTGGAATAGATGCTATCTCTACTAATCCACCTGCAATCTGGAAAACTTCTGATGCACGGGCTACATAAATTATGGTGTATACCTAATCTCGGCTGAAAGAGGTACCAGGTACTACTAGTTATAATCCTCCTACTTTTTATAAATAAGGTTACGATTTTATTATAGGTATGTCACTCCCTTTTGAATAATTTTATACAAAATAAAATTACACTTTTTACCTTATAGTATACCTACGTAAAAAAATCCGTTTGCTTCAGCCCCTGAGGATGTTTCAAATCAAAAATGTCCTAATTATATTTTCCTGGAGATTACTACAATGATAAAATTAGCAGTACCAAATAATTATTGCCACAATTCGTCGCTTGAAATCGATTGCCACGAATGTTAGTTGTTCTAAAACCAACAACAAAAGATTTGTTGAGATAGGTACTACATAATTATTATTGAGAGTTTTTTCCGTTCTCAGAACTGTTACAGGACAGGCAAGTCAAGCTAGATAATATTGCTATTGTAGCATCCGCGCCAAGTACTATATTATTTAGGTTAGATGGTAAATTGCGAGCGGTCGTATTTGATGGTAATTATTTCATTGGGCAGCTAATGTAAAATAAAATTGTAGGGGCGGGTCTATTTGCAAGTGAGAGAAACAACTGATGTACGGTTATCCATTAATAAAATATACTTTATTCGAGAATATTAACAGAGGTTTTCCAAATTACAATGGTACAATTTTATACCCTAATCCATCACCTTTCTAAAACAAAAATAAACAATTCCAAATGATGCCAACTTACAGCCACCTCTATACTATCTCTGAGCTTATAATTAAAATCAATCAAAAGCCTTGTACTTAAATAACTCTTTTATAGAGCCCTACTACATTAAATTACAATATTTTTAACCAAAACTCCTACACGTCAAAACATTACAATTTTTAAAGCGTCCAATTCTATAAGCGTATAGAAACCCATGATTTCGCTTACTGCCAAATTTGTACAAATTGAAACCTCAGCCAGAATGAATCACTGAGTGAAGACTATTACTAAACATCAAACATGTTAATTAATTCTTTACGATCTACACTCAGACATAACAATACTATCTCATTTCAATATTTAAAATCTTAGAGATCAAAATATTTACCTATAATCATTAATTCAATGTTCATTAATGCTCTTCGTAAGACAGAGCTCACTGATTAAATAGCCATTAAAATTTCCTATTTTACTAAACAGAACAAAGAAAAAAAAAAGTTCAAGAGTTCACACAAGTTAATAACATATTTGCGAAGTCCCATTATCAATTCACTTATACTTCATAGTAATTTTAATCATTGATAAAGTCAACTAAACTACTAAACATGTAACTAAACTCTGTCCAACGAACCTACGGAGTATGACAGAGTCAAAATGGCGGCCAGGTTTAGACTGAACACTGATTTATGCCATTTATTTATTTCAAAATGTTACAAAACATCACTTTACAGTGTAAAGCGGGCTGATAAATAACCAATAGTAACGAACGTTTTTGAAGGTTGTGGTGTTTTTCGCTCCGTAGGTTGGTTGGACAGAGTATATAGTACTTACATCAGTAGCGGCTCGTCGTATAAAGCAACTGAGGCCGGGCCTCACATGTAAAAATTACAATAATGATGTAAAATTTTGAAATAATATTCATTAAATATTTAACGTTTTTCAACTATTTTCAATCATTAAAAGAATCAAAACATCGAATTTTCATTAAAATATAATACTATTTCTTGAATTTAGCGCGCGCTTCTACCTATTTATCCTTATAGGCGCTCAAATCGTTGCCGGACAGCATTAAAATAAAATAGCAATCCCAAAAATTTTGGCCTCATGTGCGTCACAGAACGCCGAAGTGATGCCACGGCACTCCCCACTACAACCCTTCAACTGTAAGTGAGACGATAGCGAATTTTCATAGGCATTGAGGCGCACAATTTTGGGCTTGTTAATAAGAAACCTTGCATCTCTTGCTGCTGCGACAAGTGTTTAATTGGTTAATTGGCTCATACTTTTTATTTTGGTCTGTTGCGGGTTAAAAAAAATATTTTTTGGAATTTATTTTGTTAATTTGAAACTCAATATTTGTATTAAAATAAGAATTATGTACCTACTGCTGTTGTTTTGCAACTGTAAGAAATGAAAATTTTCATTAGAAATATACAAAAAAAATATCCGAGATGTTCTTCTAATGAAATTTTGGGTCAAAATTTGGGCGTAACACTTGAAAATTTTGTTTGGGTTTGTTTGGGTTAACTTGATGGGCCATGGGCCTCACCAGTTTGGATTGTCACGAGCCGCCACTGACTTACATTCCGTCCTTAAAACACTAAACTAATCTAAAATAATTATTTTGATTATTTAGAGCTCGCACATAATGTTGGACGAATTTTTAATGTTCTTTCTTCACGACTTCTTCACTTTCTTCAAAAGATTCGATTTAGCGCGTTTTCCCCATTAATCTAATTAAGCTGAACTGAAGTCTGAACTCATTCCAAAATTCCGAAATCGCTGTTTTTATATTTTTCGATCCCCCCAAAAATTTCGGGTCATGTACATTCATTACCCTTCCTCTTTTCTAAGAAATATAATTATTTGTCTAAAGCCGTACCTATATGTCGCAATTTCTTGGATTATCGGGGTCAACAGATTTGGAAGAATGCGGAGGACACCTAATTCAAAGAAAAACCTCACTCGTGCCGTCCGTAAATCATGATTTTATTATAATTTTGTCACTATGGGACTCAATTTAATTACCTAACCTAGTATTTTAATATTTTTATGGATTTGCTCTGTGATTTCAGTGCGATGACATACACTTGGTGACTAACTACCTATTAAAATTTGAAAGTATGTATTTAGATATTTCACTTAATTTGTGTCAATACTAAACTTACAAAATTAGAACTTCTCTTCTAATATTGAATATTGGAGATTTAATTTACATTAGATTATTGGATTCAATTTACATTATTTAATTATATTTAAATTTACTCGTTTTGTATTTTAAGTCCTTATAAATTACGGGTCTATTCTCCTGCGACATTACACTATCAATACCAAAGTTTATCAATACTAAAGTAAAGAAGCACATGACAAAATCATTTTATATAAAAATTATATTTGCATAAAAACGTGACGATGAATTTTAGGCCAGTAATTGTTTGTAACAAATACAATAAGTTGTGAAATAAATGTACCTAAATATATTCGTGAAAAATAGAAACATGTAAAAACAATAAAAAAACGTACTTGGGTAATAAATAATATTGAAGGTATTCATTATCAATATCTATGTGGCTCAGCGGCAATTGCATTTGTCCGTTGATAGCAAAACGACAATAATTATTAATTCCCCTACCGTTTTCAGGATATACTAAAATAAATTCAATGTGTTCTATAATAGCTTTTATAGTGTTTGGTTTATTTTTAGGTAAGAATTTTAATTTATTTTGTTTTATATAAAAATCAACATTATGGGCAGAATTATGCGTGATAAAGTTTGTGAGGCTTTCGCGCTAAGGTTTATTGATAAGGTGTTTTCATTCGGGCTTAATGGCCGTCGTGAGTTGCAATTGCTGGACATGGAAGCACCTCTGAAAATGCTAGCCACTGGTGCTAGAAACATCAGGAAGAAACTCCAACTACTGATGGTCAACACACATAATTCTGATAAGGTGTTTTCATTCGGGCTTAATGGCCGTCGTAAGTTATTTATCTCACAATTATAAATGCGGCGTAGAAAGAATAGCTTGTATTGCCTGTAGGCAATCAATTATTGTAGAAGATAAGTTGCTATCAGTTTCTAGAAACATGAAAAAGACCTATTCTTGGTATTCTCCTATCCGCTCTTTAATCATATATTGCATCATATCTTTGTCACTGGCCCCTATGACCAATATGATCTGATCATGTGCAAACTGAAGAGTAAACAGGCACCTATCATTATCATTTATCTCTCTACCCATACCATGGATCTTCCAATTTTCTAGTGCTTTTGCTACGTATATTATGAAAAGCGTAGGAGAGATACAACATCCTTGACGTAGTCTTTTATTCACTATAAATGTGTGTATTTCACCTATCTTGATTCTTTGATTTTGAGTATTTGAGTATTTCTTCTTTCCCTTTTAAATGCTTGTGACTGATATGCCCCGATAGTTATTACAGTCCTCTTTTTTACTGTTTCTCATATCTCAACTTCTTCTCCATGTACTTCAATATGTCTTGTAGAATCTAATATATATTCCGGTCCACCTTCTTGTGATAGACCCTTGTAGTGTTCTATCCGTTGCCCTGGTTTGATTACCTGGATATTAGCTCTGCTGGGTTTTTGACATTTGATATAAATCTCCATGCCTCTGAATGAGCATTTTCTTCCTCCTGTGGGTGTTAATTTTTTCACATTTCTCATACCCACTCTTAGCTAAGGTGGTAGAGCATGTTCTATCCTTGGAAAGCTACTGTAAAATAAAACTGCGGGGGCGGGTCTACTTGTAAGTGAGAGAAACAACTGTGATAGGATTTTACATAAATACCTAAGTACCTATACCTTATTCGAGTAAATAAACAGAACTTTTCCAAATTACAATGGTACAATTTTATACCCTAACCAACACCCTTCTAATACAAAAAAAAAAAACATTCTAAAATGATGCTAACTTTACAGCCACCTATACTATCTCTGAGCTTGTAAATAAAATGTTACAATCAAATACCTTGTACTTAAATAACGACATAACAATGTTACGGTTCACATTAATAGGTCTTTACGAACCTCCGAACATATTCTCTCATAGACTTCGAACCCTCCTGAAATTCTGAAATGAAATTTACCGTTAAGAACCTTTGGTTTGAATTCTAAATAACTACTTACCTTGCTCAGTGCTTCATTAATTAAAACAATTATACCTACATATCTCCACCATCAGTCATTTCCACTCATTTATCTGAAAATAAGGACTTTAAATTATTAAATGTTAATAATGAACAAAGCAAGTACCATTAAGGTGAAGTTTTTTTTAAGCAATGGTATCGGCGTCAAATTGTCAAGAAAGACTTATTCATTCGACATTGATTTTAACCTCAAGTTCCTCTTTGGTTTCCTAGATGTCGCTTTGATTTTTGGCTCGAAAATTTGTAGCTATTTATAAACCTGAAATTGAAAAATCCCTAAATTTTCTCTAGAACCAAAACTCCTGCGTCAAGGTACCAAAAAAAAGGCAAAACCTATTCGTGATAGAACCACATTTTTGTTGAGAAGAAGCGCAGCAACTTTTTGCTTTTCTCGTGGCTTTTTGACCGATTTTTGAAAAGTTTAGGCCCAAATATTTCGTCAAAAATGTGTCTATTAGCTATTTTGTAGCACCGAAGCACTTTATTGCTGTTTATTGACGAATTACTGAAGAAACCCTAAATTTTGGTTCCACGTTTTTGAGTTTGTGAAAAAATGCCAATTTCCCATTGGTAAGTTCCTTATTTTCTTACTTTTGAATACTAAATTAAGGCTTTACCGCTAAAAATATTTAAATTAATACGTACATACCTTATTCTTCAAAATCCTGATGCAATGTTCATTGTTTTAGGCCTTTTTCTATGTTTCCCCCCTTTGTCACTTTATCTACACCCTACCAAGCAAGTGACATCCAACCCTATCTTGAAGCTAAGCATTCACAGAGGCCTTGAATTTACTTGGAGATTGGTTATTTTCCCGACAAGTAGTCCAAGATCTGATGGATCGCCCGTAGAACTTTAAGGACTTCTCACCCTTCTGAGAGCCTACTAGACCCACCCAATATACATTAACAAGGTTTGAATATTGTTGCGCTGTCTTTGGAAACCATCCAAGCTTCTAAATTGATCATCTGGCAATTTGTTTTTCCATCTCATTGAGATGAGAGCTGGAGCCTCATTTAATTACCAACAGCTTCAGGGTTATTCTGGATTATAGAACCAGCGGACCTTTAGTCCTAATTTGCTAAAAAATTATTATTATTTTTTAACCCTGCATGCTTATATTTTTAAATTAAATTCTTACCTTCAAGTTTATGTTAATCACTTGAGTATAAGTTACACTCAAATTATCACACATTTAATTATTTCCACTACTTACTGTACACCAGGTATAAATAGGTCTATTTACAAAGGTATTTCGGGTATTTTGAGGCGAATTGTTAGAAACTTAAGGAACATATAACCATAGAGAACTACCGCCCTATTTGAATTCAAACCCTTCTGGTTATTTTAGACATTTTTAGAAATATTTATACAGAACACCACCTTCAAGTGTGGATTTCATTTGTTTCGACGATTGTATATTTATTTGAAATAGGTACCAACTATTTTTAGCATCTATACCCAGCTTCGTTAATATTTATTGTTTTATTTACCAGCTGATTTTCGCCGGTGACCATTTACCCTTTCACTTTTCAGTTTGATTTTAAATGTAATATTTGAGGACCGATTACATTTATATTTATTGATCTGAATTGACTTGTTTCATTGTACCCTTTCAGACAATTTTAGTTTGACAGGTGCAAAACCGTTTAGCTGTTGAGTTTTCCTGTTTTGTTTTGGATATCGGAACTCCGTTCAACTGAAGGGCAATAAAACAGGTGGCGCTTTTTATTTAATCACCCACACCACTCTCCACTGTACGAGTTAGTCAGCAGCTTTTAGAAACGGAGTTTCCTTTCTCGTCTGGTAGTACTGTGGCCACCTTGCTAGATTGTCACCTCCCTAAATTTTCATTTTCACTTTTCTTTTCTTTTTTTATTACATAACAAAATTGACATAAAAAGGGGTAACAACAATACTATCTCAATTCAATATTACGCATTTAAATTAAATTTAAATAAAATTTTAATCATCAATTCTCTTCATTAGACAGAGCTCACAGATTAAATAGTCATTAAAATTTCCTATTTATGCTAAACAAAACAAAAACAAAAAAAAAATCAAAAGTTCACTAAGTTAATAACATATTTGCAAAGTCTCAATGTCAATTCACCCACATCATAGTCATTTTAATTATTGATAAAGTCAAATAAATATCTCACTATATATTCTTAAATAATCCTTTTGATTATTTAGAGCTCGCACATCATGTTGAACGAGTTTGAATGTTCTTTCTTTCACGATCTTCCGTTACTTTTTCAAAGATTCGATTTAGCGCATTTTCCCGAGGCAGCAAAATAAAAGAAACTCTTCGCGAATTTTATCCGGACTGACTCATTAATCTTACTGTAGACTCAAGACTCTAAGCTGAACTGATTCCAAAATTCCGAAACCGCTGTTTTTATATTTTTCGATCCCCCAAAAAATTTCGGGTCACGTCCATTCATTAACCTTCCTTTTTTCTAATTCAATTTCAATTCAATTTATTCAATTATAAGCTGTACAATTAAATTATAATTTCAACAATATTAAAGTGGCACCTAGATGCCTATGCATGTGTGTGTGCCAAAAGCTATAAGTAATTAAATTTATTATTAAGCTATAGCTAAGAGATTTAAATAACAAAGAAAATAAATATTTCAACTCAAAGTACAAAGTACAATATGCCAATTTCTTAAATTGAAGTAAGTACTCAATAATTTTAGACAAACTCCAACACAGTAATCCAATTCCATGTAAATATAATATGTCTTTCGACTCTTTCGTGTTTAGAAAAACTTTCCTTTATTTTTTACGCTGTGTCTAGCCTCCCGGCCGGCACCGGTATTCATATGAATCCCGGTTATAACGCGTTTTCACTGACGTCATCAACAACCACCGGTAACTGTCGTGGATCCCGGCTATTGCAATACAAGATGTTAATAATTATTATGTTCATTGTTATTAGGGAAGAATTATTAAGTAGGGTAAAAAAAGTAAACGAAGTCGGGCGCGATAAGATTTTATTTATAAGAAATAAAATTATAACTTTTATTATACATGTACCTACATAGAATACATAGGTATAATTCGAAGAGGTATAAATTCTGAAATAATCACTACAACTTTTTGGTATCAATTGTTCATGCACAGCTTACATTCCAAACAAATCCCATTTTTAGAAAATTTTGGTATTTTTTGTTTAACGTTGTACATTTAATGTCTCCATAGAAGGCATATAAAAGATCATACATACAGCATTTCGCCTCGGGTAATTCTGTGATTTCGCTGAATTGTACAGCATTTTGGAAGTCTGTTCAACATTTGATCTTATACAGCAACGCCGTTATTGTTCAGCAACATCACACAGGGTGCCCCAAAATTAGAGGTTAATATTTCCACTGCGGATTCTACATCTAAAATTAAGAGCAAAAGTTCCTATAAACATGGGTCCGAAAGTACCCTATTTCAGAGATACAGGGTGTTAAAAAAGCTATAGTCCCGAATAATGAATAAAAATAAACCATACTATTCCCACACCACTTTAATACCAATATCACAACAAGAAACAATAATACACAAAAGCTATTCCGGAATTATTTACAGCCTCAAGCAGCAAGAGAAACACGACTTTAAATTTTGAATCCAATAGCCGGGATCCACGAAAAATCCCGGCGGTCGTTGATGACGTCATTGAAAACGCGTCGTTTTCTCTCTCAACAACAACAACGGAGGAGGAGGAAAAGAGAGAGAACTCTCTCAACAACAACTAACGGAGGAGGAGGAAAAGGAGAGAGATAAAGGATAGTTTTTGTTCTTCATTTCCACTGGCAACAAGTTATGGAATTTTGGTGCCAAAACCGCAGAAGAATGTTTACTCAAGTCACGATTTACTTTAGGTGATATTAGTTGTTGATTTATATTGCTCCTGGTTTCATATCTATGGTTCGTTATAGAATTTTTGTAATGGTATTTCTGGATGTGATGATCAGTTATATCATAGTCAATAATATAAGAAATATAATTATTTGTCTAAAACCGTATAGGTATATCGCAATTTCCTGGATTATCGGGAAGAATAGGGAAGGGAGGACCACCTAATTCGAAGAAAAGCCGCACTCGTGCCGGCCGTAAATCATAATTTTATGATAATTCTTTGGGACCCAATTTAATTACTTTGGCCTTGTTTTTAATATTTTTTTGGATTTGATTTATGAGTTCAATGTGATGACACGAGCTTGGTCAGTGGCTATTGTAACTTGAACGTATTTTAAATATTTTAAATAATTTGTATCAATGCCAAATTTAGAAAATTAGAACTTTTCTTTTAATAGGCATTGGGGATTTAATTTACATTAGATTATTTGATTACATTTAAATTTACTGTTTTTGTATTTAAAGTCCTTGTAAATTACGTGTCTATTTTTCCCCAGGTCATTACAGCTTCTTGGGTGGTTTCTATTAAACTCCTTTTTCTTAGAACTCTCACGTCATTTATCTCTTTGGCGATTTTGCTACCGTTTACATACACGAATTCTCTCTAGAATCTTGATTAAAAACCAATGAAATAACTACCTCAATGAATAGTACTTTTATGTACCTATACCTATAGTGTGTCTCATTTAAAACAGAGATAATACTATATAAACTGTCGAGAATGGAATCTTAGTGTAAATTTTGTTGTCAACAAAATTGAGCCAAGCCAGCGCCATCTAGCATATTGGAAAATCACTATTTACTGGTTTTGCATCGATGCTACAGACACCTACTTTACATACGACTTTTTATGATAGATGGCGCCCTGTTCGCATTACTTTCGGTCTGTTCAAATTCGTTTATTCTAGACTTTGGGGCATTAATGTTTGCTTAAATTAATTGATAATTTGGTAATTAGATCAAAAGACAGTTTCTTTATCGATGGTTAAGGGTATCCTTAACATATTTATTCAAAATTCTGATTGATGTTTAATTGAACCTGTCATTTATCTAATCAACAAAGATAAAAATAGATCTTCCAATCTATAAAGGTTGAAGTTCTTCTTGAAACACATAAAACAACTTTGAAATCACTTAAGAACACTTGACAACACAAAGAAAGATGAAATGCAAGAACGGCGAACAAAAAACATTATGAATTATTAGTTATGATCAAATGAATATTTTGTTTGGCATATTGTCATATGTTGACATGACATGTCAGTTATCGACATCGGACGTGTTCTTGATGTGCTGGTATTTTACAATTTTGACAATTCTGTGGTTGTCAGCGACATCTAGAAAAACGGAAAAGAGTTATTATGTGGTTTATAACTGGCAATGAGAGATCGCAGGGCCTGATTTAAAATAAGCAAGTTGACATCTACCGGTATAACTGGAAGTGCCACCATTGGCCAAGTCGCCCTTATTGACATTAGTTCACTAATAAGTGTTCCGATTTTTGAAATTAGATAATTTTTTTTTAGGTACTAATGCATATCCCCTCGAGCGCATTGTTGGCGGTGGAAACGTAAGCATCGAAGACTTCCCATACCAACTGAGTGTAAGGTAACATAAGCTTTCTATCTTCGAATAATTTCCAAAAATATTTTTTTTTTCCAAGGTTACACGACTCTCACATCTGCGGTGGGGCTCTAATTGCTGCCGGATACGGCTTATCTGCCGCACACTGTTTTAAAACAACAGCACTATACAGTGTGAGAGCTGGTAGTGATTTTAAAGACAGTGGGGGAACTATAACGAACATTACAAAAATTTATGTTCATCCTGAAAGAAGTTTCTATGATTACGATATTGCCATTTTGGTGTTTCAGAATCCTCTAACGTAAATTTACACTTCGTGTGTTGTTTTTTTACCTGCATGATTCGATTTGTTAGTTTTAGCTCGACCATTCAACCAGTAAAACTACCTACAAACAATGTTATTCTGGCGCCTGGAATAAGAGGTACAATATCTGGATTTGGAGATACTTATAATTTGCAAAATAAAGGCTCAAAAGTTTTGAGAGCCGCCCAAGTTTCTGTTATTGATTCTGAATGGTGCGAAAACCAATACCAAGCGTTCCAAATATCTGTTACTGAAATGGTGTTTTGTGCTGGAGCCGAAATGGGAAAAATTACAGATTCTTGTCATGTAGAATTTTAATTACCTAGTTTTTTTTTAAATGTTTCTATTAATTTTGTTTTTAGGGAGACTCAGGAGGTCCTTTTGTAATCGACAACGTACTCTATGGTTTAGTTTCATACGGATTAGATTGTGGCGAACCCCAATATCCTGGTGTCTACACAAACGTAGCAGCATTGAGAGAATTTATTTGGCTCAATACAGGAATTTAAAAAAATTGTGCTTGTTCTTTGATTTTTGTGTTTGCAAGCTAGAAATGGCTATCAACTAATAGATCAGCAGGCAAGTCCTTTCTGCTGGAAAGTATTTCGGAGTTAATGATATTTTGGTAAATATGTCATTTGTGGGTAGACTGTGGAGTAAAATCTGAGTTTTCGACCTCGAGGACTATATGCTAGCTTGGGGAGAGTCGAAAAACCTCGAAATTTTCGGACTTTTTCAGTTTTTTGCTTATATTTTCTAAGCCATGCGTTTTTGTCAGAATACACCTTAGTTATAAAGTAGGGCTTTGCGAGACCACAAGACTAGTCTTGGTCTTGGTTGCAAGACCAAGACCAAGACCAGAACCTAATAAATCTTCTCAAGACCAAGACTTGACGTTTAAGACCAAGACCAAGACTCTCTCTCTCGAGACTCTCGTCTTGGTCTTGGTCTTGAAAAGAAAAATCGACTCAATTATTTACATTGACCATTGCCCGTAAAATATACAAATACCAAATATACAAATACCAACAAATAAGAGAATGTAAACTTTGTTTCACGAGAGTTCATACTTTTTGCTTTCCTTTTTTAACAAATAGAAATTGACTGAAACAAATCAATGACGTCAAAAACGTTCGTCGATTCTCAAACCAGAAGTCATTCATTTTAATTTGTGAAGAAAAATTTAATGTGTCATATGAATTAATCTACGAAAAAACGAAAACCCTTTTTTTTCAAGTTATGACGTGTTCGATATCAAAAGTATGAACCCTGGTGGAACGATCTGACTCAGTGCACTCACCGGGTAAGATTTACTTTCAAATAACCGCGCGAAATCGAAGGAGCTAGAGTGCATTTTTGTCTGTAGGCACGAGTAATAATAAAAGCTATTCGTTCAAGTACCTATTCAATATTTTCCCACCCCTACATAATATAGTCCACTCAAAGCTATTGCACTGTTACGTCATAATATCTGACGTCATAAAAAAAACGGACGTCTTAGATAGACTCGTACGTTATTTCTTGCACTAGCCGAAAGATGTCTGTACCTATTTTCTATTCCGGAGCACGTTCCGTTTCTATCAATTTTACAAACTTATGTTCCGTTTTGCTGCACTTTATTTCTTGAGAATTTTAATTATGAAAATTAGGAGGGGCCTCAGATAAGAGCCAGCGCGCTATCTTTTGGGCTTTATGACACACAATAAATATTTTTTAATCACAGGTGTTCAAATTCTCTGTAAGTGATTGAGTTATTTACAAGTAGATGGCGAAATCTTCAATATCAATTCGTTAACACAGTAATTTACAGTGGACTAAATAATTTTATTCAGATGCAAATGAAATAATAGTATTTCACATTTTTAGCTAGGTAAAACAGTTTTTACTGGCGTTTGAAAGAAGGGACTACCCTTCCTGAACTCAGCGACATCTTTAAGAGAAGCGCTGAACACACGTTGGGTTTGAGTCTCTGCTCTCTGGTTAAATATCTGTTAAACGTTTGTATTTTTGTTCCAATTGTTCAGCAGTATTGTTATTCATTGATTCCTTAGCAACTATTGAAGCATAATTAAAATACCAGAATATTGGATTTTGCGACCTGTCAACCGGTCAAAAATGCTGACATTTCTTGTCAATCTCAGAAAAAAATTATTTATTCACCTGTGAAACGTAATTCCTGGCACTTTTTTGTCGCTACGACTCTTGCAATTGATAGCATCAGAAATCACCATCTTGATCAGATACTAAAACAAATATATTTCATTCGTTTTCGTCGCATAAATACAGAAAATATGCCGGGTGTCAAACTCTTTGTTTGGCACCAAGACTATGGCCGCCGATCAATTTTTGGTCACACGTTCACGCGCAAGCTTGTAAATGCCTGTTACCCGTCCCCTCTTTTTTCCTTGTCTAAGGTCTGACGGCTCACGTTTCACCTTAACATAACCACACTTTTGTTTGTTTATAGTTCGATGACGTCATAACCAATTTTAGAGCATTTTCGCGCCCATTGTTATTGAATACTTGAATAAGTAATTAGTTATTAGGGGTTCAGTTTAAAGAGGATTTAAATATAGAAATATACTTCTTGAGTATTTTGCTCCACTTTAAATACATTTTCCATCAAAATAAAATTTAATGCAACTTAGTCATTAAATAACCTAAATTGTGTTGGTAATTCAGACTTTCTATTGGTTGAGACGCCCTACGTGGACCAGTGCGCATGCACGGAGAACATTTGATAGGTTGTAATGAAAATGACCAGTTATGCCATGAATGCCGCTTGGATTTGGTTCAACTAGAGACTCTAAACTGGAACAAGATTATACATGACGAGACTCCGAGACATTTGCGAGACTCTCGTACGAGACGCGAGACGAGACGAGACTTAAGGCTGCGAGACGAGACTCGAGACAAGACTTTTTATTTATCGGCGAGACGAGACAAGACTTTATGAAAGTCAGGGAAGTAAACAAAACATTCAAAACAAAATTATTTTGATTTTGATTTCAACTTTTGGTAATTTTTTGGAATTCGGCATTTATTATCGTGTTCTGCTGAATTATTAATTAATAAATTTTTTGATCAAATATGTGTTTTCGGGGATTATACAACTCACTGTACATTATTCCCATATGACACGAGAGGATTAACAAGTGATAATCCTTCCTATATGACACGAGAGGCTTAATAAGTGATAATCCTTTTGCACGTTAACTGGTGTTTTGACATTTTTTGACAAAAAAATTTAAATTTTTGATTCATGAAATTATTAATTAATAAAGAATTAAAGTTTAGTTCGTTGTATAATCTTTTGAATACCACTCGAGTTTTCAGGATTACCTAATACTTTTACCTGACACTCAACGCGTTACCAGCAACACCACTCCTCCTTCGGAGTCGTGGTGTTGCTGCGTAACGCGTTTCGTGACAGGTAAAAGTATTATCCGGTAATCCTGAAACCTCTTGTGGTATTACATTCGATAATACCACGAGAGCTTCAAAATTACCGATAATTTTTCACGATTGCGTGTTTTCTATAATTTCACGAGTCTGTAGGACGAGTGAAATTTGCAGAGAAAACACGCGTGAGTGAAAAATTATCTGGTTCATTTTAAAGCTCAAGTGGTATTTAGAGGATTATTTCACGTATGAAATTGCAAAAAATATGAAAATAAATATGTATTAAACGATTTGAACATCTTAACAATCAATACAAATAAATGGTTGCTATCAGGAACTGTTTGTTTATATCAAAAATTAGCATGACAACCATGTATACAATAACATGAGAGAATTATCGCTGTAATTCTCTCTATAGTTAAACAAATGGAAAAGAGAATTTTCGCTGTAATTCTGAAAACCGTCACTTGTCTTATGGGATTTCTAACACATGAGTGGCATAATCGGTAGAATTTACATAAGTACAAGTACCAGCTGATTGGTTAGAAATTATTTCTTATATTATGTTATTTTCTGTATAAACGCCACAAAATTCTTATTTATTATATTATATCTTATTTAATCTTATTTCTTATGTGCTACCTATGCGCTGTATAAATAAACCCACCTTAAAAATTTAGAGGCACACACTAGAAAATGAGTATAGGTATTTAATTATGAACGACATGGCCTTATGCTCTCTTTGGTTATGGTTTGTTTCTTGATGGTTTGTGTGCCTTCACTGCCTTCAGTGCCAATTCTGACTGTTTTCGAGTTTCGGACAGGCTTAGATAAAAATAAATAATATTGGTTAAGTATAATGAATTTGAATTAAAAAGTTGGGTTAAGTTTTTCATAGGAATGAGAATCGATTCCATATTCCGTCCGATATGTGAATTCGATATATCGATTTAGTTATCCCGCCAGGAAAAGTTTACATGAAAACCATAATATCTGGGCAACACTCGATAAAACTGACCAATCAGAAATTTGAACTTCAAATCGAAATTTAGAGCCTTTGCAAGTCCGAAAAAAATCGGAAAAAAATACAGTTTAGCTTAATTTTGACTCCTCTTTTCAATTAGCGAATAAAAAAAAATCATGCAAGAAACCCATTAAATTTGAAGGAAATTTATTTTTCTTCAACTTTATAAATAGGTCCCTTCCGCTGAAAACGCATGATTTACAAGTTATTAGCAAAAAACTGAAAAAGTTCGAAAATTTCTAGGTCTTTCGACTTCCCCCCAAGTTACCACAGGGACCTCGAGGTCGACAACTCAGATTCTACTCCCCAGACTATCCACAAACGACATGCCAGCTACCCCCTTTATTTATTACTTGCCTGCTGGACTATAAGTAAAGAAGTATGAGAAAAAAATTTATAATGTATGATGAAATTTAAAATATTATAATTTCAATTACCTACCTACTTTTAAGTAGTTCAAAAAATATATTATTAATTGAGTGATTAAAAACAATTTTTTAATTATTTTAATTCAATTACCGACAGCTCTGTTGTAACAAATACAATAAGTTGTAAAATGAATGCTCTTATACCCAAAAATATTCGTGAAAAATTGAAAAGATGTAAATCTATATGTGGCTCAGCGACAATTGCATTTGTCCCTTGATAGCAAAACGACAATTATTAATTTACCTACCGTTCTCAGGAAATACCAAAATGAATTCAATTTGTTCTATAATAGTGGTGTTTTGTTTATTTTTAGGTAAGATTTTTTGTTTATTTTGTTTTCCATAATTCAACACTATGGGCAGAATTGATTGTGTATTTGTAGTATTTGTTGTGCCTTTCTCAGAATTTGTCCTATAAGTTTTATCAAAATTATGATTGCGCCGTAAAAAATATCATGTAGGTACTTAATCTGGTAATCAGTTATTGTACAGGGAAGTTACTATTAGTTTCTAGGAACATGAAACGTAGAAACTAATGCTTTTGAGTTTACAAACATTTTTCAAACGATATAAACTCTGATAAAAGAACTGAAGATTTGTATTAGAAAGCCACACGTAAATATTGATTTAGATAATCTCTTAAAAACTACGAATAACGACAATCAGGGCCGTATCTAGGGGGGGGTTTTTTGGGGGTTCAAACCCCCCCCCCCAAAAAAAATAATAAAATTCAAAAAATTTAACTTAAAAACAAGCTTATTATAGTTATTTATGATATATAAGTGTTAAAAGTACATTTTTAAGGCACGCATGTGAAAGTTTGTAGCATGAGCGAAGCGAATTCTGCAATTCACATAAGTGCCTTAAAAATACTTTTAACACAAATATCATACAATATTTTTTCTACAGACGGCAATAAAAAGCAATAACCAGTAAGAAATTGGATTTTCAAATATGAGTAATAAATTGGAAGCATCTTTCCTACATAAAATTATTGAATTTGACATTTGTCAAAAAATCCAAACAACCAGCACCTTGTTTTACAGGTAATGAAATGTCTTGTCAGTTTTTTGAAAGTCTGTCGTGGTCAGTAATGCTTTTTGCTAAAAATGCAAGAAAATACAGAAGAAAAAGAGGGTTGCATCGATCCCTTAAAAAATATAGATGAGGCTACCTCAGTTGTTCAAATTTCACCATTAATATCAATGTAAATAACTAAAAATACAAACTTTTTTTGACGTTCGCTCTCAAAATTTGACGTTTGATTTTTAACACTAGTGCTATAAAGACTTTATGGCACTAGTGCGATAAAGTAACATTTTTAATGCTATGGAGGGGTGTTAAAAATTGCATTTTTAACACGTTTGTAGAAAATAGTTATTTATGATATAAGTGTTAAAAGTACATTTTTAAGGCACGCATGTGAAAGTTTGCAGAATGAGCGAAGCGAATTCTGCAATTCACATAAGTGCCTTAAAAATACTTTTAACACAAATATCATACAATATTTTTTCTACAAACAGGAATACAAAGCAATAACCAGTAACAAATTGGATTTTTAAATGAATAATAAATTGGAAGCATCTTTCCTACATAAAATTCTTGAATTTGACATTTGTCAAAAAATCCATACAACCAGCACCTTGTTTTACAGGTAGGTAATGAAATGTCTTGTCAGTTTTTTGAAAGTCTGTTGTGGTCAGTAATGCTTTTTGCTAAAAATGCAACAAAATACAGAAGAAAAAGAGGGTTGCATCGATTCTTCGAAAAATATAGATGAGGCGGCCAATCGGGCTACCTCAGTTGTTCAAATTTCACCATTAATATCAATGTAAATAACTAAAAATACAAACTTTTTTTGACGTCCGCTCTCAAAATTTGATGTTTCACTTTTAACACTAGTGCTATAAAGACTTTATGGCACTAGTGCGATAAAGTAACATTTTTAATGCTTCGGGGCGGTATTAAAAATTGCATTTTTAACACGTTTGTAGAAAAAATACTTTTTATTTTTTTTATTTTTATTACTAGTGTAACAATTTTTTTTTGCCACTTTGTCTACCCCCCCCAAAATTTTGATCTAGATACGGCCCTGACGACAATCTAGAAATTCGCGGGTGTAACATAACGCATACATCCCTCAACTTTTAAAATAAATTAAATTTCAGTTTTCTTAAAGTTGGGACAGTTGGGTCATAAATTTGTGACTGTTTGGTACGTATAGTTGTTGCAATAATTGATACTCTCATTTGTCTGGTATTGCAGCGTGACAGGATAGGTTTTTTAGTCGAATAAAGGGCTTTCTAAGTGCCCGGAGTAGGTGTACAAAATTTTAACTGCAAGACATCAAAGGTATCCTGGGCTGGGACTCTGTAACGGATAGAGATCATTATCCCTATCGCTATGGGACTTGCTGTCTTCTTCTCTCTTTTCGAAATTAATAGAGAGGGGACGTCAATAGAGATAGAGAAAATATCTCTATACGTTACAGAGTCCCAGCCCTGCAGGACTCCAATACTATGCAAGACTCAAGACTACATTTCTACAAGAGGACTACAATAACAATACAGAACTGGTGTTATGTGAAGAAGGATGAAAAGATAGATTCCTTCTGCTTGGCTCTCTAAATCTCTTTCTATATCAACCAAATCGGTTTTACTGCGTTACTGCGGTATTTTCTTTTATTGTTTTTGTGTTCAAGACGAAAACGAGTGAAAATATTTTCCTACATAGATCTTTTCTCAATTACTCTCCAGTTTCGAGAATACATACTTGAATAACTTCAGAATTCATGATATTTCCTATCACCAATCTAGTTTCAGCTTTCTTTCAAACGTTTAAACTATTTGCAAAGGTTGTACAAACTTGTACAAGAGTTGTTCGAACCTTGAAAATATATGGGTACAGTATCCAAATCTGATCATACCTTTGATGTCCCCTTTAGTCATTTTTGAGTTATCAATATAGTTGTCCGTTTTAGGTTATCATCATTAAGTCATTGATGTCGTGAATATTTTATCCAATGCCAAGCACAATCTTATCTACTGTAGTTGTAATGGTCAAATGCTTGAAGTGAGTCGAAGTGCCCCATTGCTCTCACTTATATGATATTTCATCATGTTTGTATTTTGGTCATTTAACAATCAGCTGTATTTGGATTTCTGGTTCGAATGGTTTTATATCAAATCAAATTTATATCAAAATCATTGATCCATCAAAATTATGACCCAAATGAAGATTTTTTTTTCAACGTATTGAATAGTCGCAAATGATATCGGATGAGTTTTCCCTAGCTTTTCTTGTATTGTGAATAAACAAGTCTTTAAGTTTAAAAAATAAAACCCCCAAAGCACAAATCAGTAAGTCCTATTTAACAATGTTTTTAATGCACCAACAGTTCTATTTCCAATGAATCTTATTTCACATCCACATCAGATTTCTTCTTTTTGACTTTGGACTCGGGAGCATTTGGATTTTGTCCCTTGTAAAAATCCTTTATAGTAACTGCATCGCCTCCTCAGACCTGTACCCACCTTCAACTATTGTAGCTGGTTTTGAAATCTCTGCCACGTCAAACACTGTACTCCCTCCAAATCTATCGCCTCTACAACCAAATGTTCGGTGGCGTAGATAGTACAGGGGATCTGGACCTCCCCTAGAGCCCCAAAGAGAGAAAAATAACAAAATAAAAATTGTAACAAAGTTTGTTTTCATCTCGTTTCAATATCGAAATCTATCTAAATCTCGATATGTTACCAATTACATTTTAATTCAAAAATGTTCTATTGCGTTGTTTTCTTTTTAGAGCAGGTTGAATGGTTTGGCATCTTTATCTATTATTGAAAAGTTTGTACCTTTAGCTGAAGATGTTATGGACCACTTAGCCAAAAAGCCAAGAAGACTGGTGTTTATTCTTCAGTTTCAGAGCCCTGGAATTAAAGAATAAATTCCATATAATATAAATTTTAATTAATCAAAATAAAAACTTTAATTTTATATTTTTGAAGTGAAACTTCTTAGGCCGCGTTTTGATATTTGGACAATGGAGAGTGATTTGAAAAACCCTTCACGGGCAAATTTTGTTACTCGAGACAGAAGAAAGATATATAACGTGAAGAAACGGAGAAAGACAGCTATTGATTCACACTAACCAAGGACTATAATGGCAAAGTGGATTGCCTATTATTGACAAGCGCCGACATTGACACAAACCAGAGATTATAAAGCGTAAAGAGAATTGCCTATTATTGACAAGCTCCGATACCCTTGTGACGTCACTACAGATGCGCATTTTCCTTCGTCTTTACATCGACTCATACGCAACTGTGGCTAAGTTTAAAAGTTGTATGAGAGGGGGATAGTTTTTAAGAAGTTTCACTTCTACCACGTCTACGGCGTTGCACATGATTTTTTTTATGAATCTTATACCGTTCCAAGATAACGGATAATGCACGTTATTTAAATTTAAAAGTTCGGGAATAATGGGAATTTTGGAAAAGATAATGTATTTTTACTAAATTAGTCACGATTGGTCAAATTGCCGCCATTTTGTTTACCTGTTCTGTCACAAATGTTTGCCTTTGGCGAATTTGCCTACACCGCTGAACCTGGACCCCCCGGGTGAAAAGCTATATCTACGCCACTGCAAATGTTAGGTACCTACACTGCGCACTTTCAAGTTATACAAGGCTGCCGCGTACATTAAACAAGGTTCCACTTTAACGAAAACATTTATTTTTTGAAAAATTTCCACATAATCTTTGGAGTAGTCTACAATTTGGTCGATGCAACTCATTTCAGCGTGGCGAGTAGCCAATTTGGTTCGTTGACTTTATTGCGGCCCATAGCTAAAATTTCATTTTCGTGGACAAATTTGCAACCTTCAGGTACCTCTTGGTTTCCTAAGGTTTTTTTGGCGAAAGAGAATGCTTTTTATATGAAGAAGTTTCCATGAGCGGTTAAGTTTATCATATCTTCTGACATTATTTGAAGACTATCGTATGAAGTTGGCCTTATTTTGTTCCTTCATTCATATTTCCATGGAGGCTCCTATATTTGATCCAAAATAATTTTCATCTATTTTTGGAAAGTATGAGTTGTTTCTGGTTAATAGCATTTATGAACTTGTAGCTTCTTGCAAGCCCAGGCCCAGACCTGAAAATAATTTTTTTAGGTTAAACCAGTGTTGATGGTGATGTCCAAAGTTTTATTAACACAAAGCGAAGAACTCAATAAAATTAAGAACAATTTATGAGGACGAAAAAAAAAACTATAAACTGCAAACTGTTGCGATCGATTTCTCGGAAAAAAAAAAAAATATTGAAAATTTGACAGAACCTATACTAATAAAAAGTCTTCAAAAAAAAAGCATATCAAAGAGTGCTTTGATTACGCAAACGTACGTCGCATTATTGTTTCTTTATTGACCAAGGACTTACTTCAATAGGTTATTCATGGGCCGAATTTATAGTTGCTCCTTGAGGTTTTCTCAGACCTTATAAGAAAACCTTAAACGTTTGGAATTGACAAATCTGACTTGTTAAATAGTAGCGAGTGTCCACTCTAAACTCAAGACCTCCAAGCAACGACTATAAATTCAACCTTATTATAATACGTCATATTTTGAGGAGAAATAGTTTATGAGAAAATTAAAATGTTCTACGACGCCACTGGTATTTCGGTAATTCCTGGGAAAATGGCCTATAATTTTCTCCAGTGCAGTCGCATGCAAAAAATGTATACTTCTAATACAATAAATAAGATAGGTGACTACTTAATCTACCTAATTCTAATTCAGTTTTACTTACCAACTTTTCAATCCAGAGCCAAAGCTTCTTACATTACAGATTTCTTGAGGCAATAAATGGAGAATAGAACTTACAAAAAAAGTGTTTCGATTCTTTCAAATTAGAATAAGCTTTTTTTTAGTTTCTAATGTATATTCTGAGTCCCAGTGCCGCATTGTTGGCGGTGGATGCGCGAAAATTGAAGACTACCCATACCAGCTAAGTGTAAGGTAACATAAGCTTTCTCTATCTGAATAATTTTTTGAAATATTTTTTTTTCCAAGGATTTTAAACCAACACCTCTGCGGTGGGGCTTTAATTGCTGCAGGATACGGCTTATCTGCAGCGCACTGTTTTAGAATAATAAATATTTTATACAGTGTGAGAGCTGGTAGCGATCTTAAAGAGGATGGGGGAACTATAACGAACATTTCAAAAGTTTATGTTCATCCTGAACATAATAAACATATTTGCGATATTGCCATTATGGTGTTTCAAAATCCTCTAACGTAAATTTACACTTCCTGGCTTGTCTTTATAACCTGCATAATTTGATTTGTTAGTTTTAGCTCAACGATTCAACCAGTAAAACTACCAGAAAATAATAATATTCTGGCGCCTGGAATAAGAGGCACAGTATCTGGATTTGGAGATACTTATTTTGGGCAAGTAATAGGCACAAACATTTTAAAGGCCGCTCAAGTGTCTGTTATTGATTTTGAATGGTGCAAAAACCAATACCAAAAGCTCCGAATTCCAATTTTTCTTACTGAAATGGTATTTTGTGCTGGGAGCGATAATATGAAAAACATTACAGATGCTTGTCAAGTAGAATTTTAATTTTTTTTTTTTTGAAAATGTTCCTATTTCTTTTGATTTTAGGGTGATTCAGGAGGTCCTTTAGTAATCGACAACGTTCTCTATGGTATAGTTTCAAGCGGAAAAAACTGTGGCATACCTGAATATCCGGGTGTCTACACAAACGTTGCAGCTTTGAGAGATTTTGTTTGGCTCAATACAGGAATTTAAACGCAAAGGTTGGAATAAAATCCATAAAATATACAGGGTTGTTTTTTTTTCAAAGAACCTCTGACACATAATTCACAAACCAGTCAGAGCGAATTTCATTATTAGTTGAAAACCTCGTTGAAAACAGTCAGAAAACTAGTTCCAACCAATGAAATTCACTCTGGACTGGTTTGAGATCTCTGTGCGAATACACCTATTATCATTTATACAGGGTGACTAAAAAACAAGTTATGACAGGTAACTTCATTTCTTGAATCGAAACATAAATTTTTTATTTCATTTTCGAACTCTACAGAAACCAAAAATAAAATAATATATAGGGTGTCTCATTCAAAATAAGCAAGTTGACATCTATCGGCAGTGCCACAATTAGCCGAATCCGACTTGCCCCCATTGACATTAGTTACATTAGTATACAGGTTGATTCACAGTCGATGGGCTTAAGGCTTCGCCTGATTTTGTCCGTCAAAGATGTTCGATATGTCAACAAATCTGAAGTGTGTGGGCTAACGAATTTTAAAAACGACGGTTTTCTGTAGTGTGTACTGTCTGGTGCGTAGCTATAGAATTTTATATTATTAACTTATTTAAAAAAAAATTAAAAACTTTTCAACATGACGGATCTTTGCCAAACTAAACCGAGGTCTGTGTGCAACTTCGGTGCCTCGTTTTTGCTCGTCGAACAAAACCGTCCAACAAAAACGCAGTCTGTGGGCCCCTTTAGACGTTTCTGGAGAACCAAAAGTCAGATCAGTTTGAATATTTTAAAAGCTGCAGTGTTGCCACTTCTTACTAAACTTGGCAACAAATTTGGATTTTCAAATGAAATAGCCTGTATATTATTACATTTTCGCACCCCTATTTCAATTTCGAATAACTTTTCCTTATAACTTCCTATACCTATCTCCAGCCGTTATTGAGAAAAAATAATAATTTACAAAATTTTGAGCTAAAAAATAACTTAAAATCACTAAATCTAGATTTCTCGTTCGTGTGAATAAATAAAAAGTTGAAATTTTGGTCGTAGCTGAACAAAGCCTCGAGGATTATTATTCTTTTGCGCAGCAAAATGTTATACAGGAGGGCGTAAAATGAATGTTTAATAAACTAATTATAAAAGTATAGGAAAGTAGCTTTTTCAAATGGCACGCTGAGGAAAACCACCTATTTAAAATATCATTAATTTGAATCTTAACTTTTTAAAAAAACGTCTACTATAGAAAAAAAGTAAATGTTGCAACCATGTATGCGCCGTCAAGTTTAGGGTTGAACGGAGGGCGCGCCACAAAAAATGAAAGTACCGAAACCAAAGAGGATACAAAGGTAATAAGCGACTAGACTAGAGAGAAGACACTTGTCTGCCGTTGTTCATTATTTAATTTTTATTTTTATTTTGTACTGATTGTTCAATCCAATTTGTGATTAGTTTGTGTGTCATAAAGGAGCATTCATAGGTCAGTTGATTAATTGTTATTTTGTTTTTGAGAGTTTAATTTATACAAGTATTATTTATTCATTTTTATGATTTTTTGTTTGTTTATAACATGTTTTTACAGCATGTCAAACACGCAACTAAGGGGGTGCTTTGGGGTGCTAGACACCCCTAAAACAGAAATTAGCACCCCCATTCGGCATCCCACCATAGCATTACCTAACACTAGTATAAAAAATTAGTGCAACCAAATTATTTATTTTTTTGCACCTTTTGTACTTACGTACGTCATCGATGACGTCATAACCTAGAAAAAAAGAATTTGTCGTTGACTATTTCACTAGAGTGTTTAACACAGGCAAAAGCTCATAGGAACGGCCGGTTTCCTACTGACAAAACTCCTACCTGTTTCTACTTTGGCAAAACCAACATGATGGTTTTTCAGCTATTATTTCATTCATTATAAAATAGACCCATCAGACAACGTCATTTTTTGAATGAATTTTGTTTAAATAAGTGATTATTTCACAAGACCTTGTTTATCAGCGATTAAATTTTTGTTTACCTTTTTTTGACAGAATTTTGATAGAATTATCTGACATTTTATAATAAATGGATAGGATTGACGCCAACAATTCAATCCTAATTATTTAGGAAATAATCTAGCCGTATACCACTCGACCTATAAATTTAAATGGATTAAACTATCCAAATATTTTTTGCATAATTTTGCTTTTTGGCAAATAGTTTCTTGAACAATAATCTAACGTTATTCTGTACCTTAAGGTGACATTGAAATACTGGCCTTTAGAAGTTCATTTGAGTCCGAAAATATATAAATTAATTAACTGCGTAGGTATTATACAGGGTGTTCCCAAATATCATGTACAAACGGAAAGAGGTGATTCTTTGTTTTTTTTTTATGACTGAAATTTCAAATAAACATACGCAAACGCTTCGTTACCGATCTACAGGGTGTTGAAGTTTCAATTTTTTTTTTAGTTTTTTCTTTATAGCTCCTGCAATCTTTGAGGGATATAGCTCATATTGATTGCACATCTCAAACGTTTGCTGGAAATAAAATGTAATCCAAATAAAGCCATATTCTATTAGAAAATTTCAAAGAAATTAATTTCATCTAGCTAATTATAGAGAATTATTGTTTTTCTCGACAAGGGTCGATGATACAGAAAAACTAAAAGACAACAAAAAGTTTCCGAATAAGGTAAGAAAAAGTATCACCCTGTAGATTCTGGCAAACATTTGCCATGTGCAAATTTCAACACCCTGTAAAGCGGTAACGCAGCGTTTGCGGACCTAAAGACAAGATGCTGTGTTACGTTAAACTCCAGTGGAGGCAAATGGGGTCGTTGATTTAATGGAACTCGTTCGACTATCACTTTTACAATCACCAAACACACATCGCTTCATCGCCTCTCGATAAAACATATCACGTTCTTCCAAAACTGCCATAATTATTAAATTTAAGCCCAAAATTGAAAAAAAATTAATAACATTGACAATGCTATTCATAGGTTATGTGACTTTGTTTTTCGACTTTATGCCAAAGTCATTCATAATGAAATCTTCTATAAGCCAAAGAGATGCATGCGGGCGAAATGTGCCATTGTGGAAAGAAAACGATTAACTGAAGTTTGTCACGTGATCACAAAAATTCGGTGGCCTGCGCCTGCCTTCCTGATTGACGCGTCGTTCAAGCACTAAAAGATTACATAAATTACATGTTTTTTTCAAGCGTCTGTTTGACGTTATTATGGCACCTATCGAACGCACATTCATAACTATGATTTTTTGTAGTATTTCTTATGCACGTATAAATCACCAAAGCTTGGTGCACGACTGAAATGCTTCAGCAGCACTTTGATTGTGTTTAAAGGTACATAATATCTATCTACGCCGATACCTAACAAGAAGGTAATTTCTGAAGCACTAATTAATTACTATTGGAATACAAATTATTCTGCTTGCCCGTAGCTTTTACAGCAATAATTCATCTAATGCTTTTGGAATACCTTCTAATCACATATCAAAGCGTAGTGAGATTTTGCAGTAGGTACCTACTTTATCAGCGCTTCACCGATTACCAAATATAAATGTTAAAATGGGTGCACTAAATTAATACTTTTGCAATAATTTATATTCGCACATCAAAGTAATGCGATTTTGCAGTACTTTTTCAGCATTTCGCCGATTGCTGAATAGAAATGTTAAAATGGGTGCACTCAAATGATACTTTTAAAGTACCTATCTTCTATTCGCACATCAAAGTAGTGCGATTTTGCAGTACTTTTTTAGCGCTTCACCGATCACTCAAATTTAAATACGAAATCGTCGCATTTCTCTAGTGCTTTTGTGCTTTTGATATACTTTGTTTTGGTTTCTGTTATTATACGTACTTTAAACATATTTCTGGAGCATTGCTATTAAAACGCTATTTCGTCTTAAGTCGGCCGGGAGTTTTCCAGCACATTGACTCACATCGTGTTATCTGGGAAGTACTTTTGTGACTTAGTAAAACTTTTTGACTTTATGAATGATGAATGACTATGAAGTGAATTAATTAACTTTGGAACTTTATTGCATACATATTAATAACTCGAGTGTTTTGACTATGGAACATTATTGCACAAATTTAATTGCCTTCGAGTGTAATGACATTTTAATTAATTTTGCAAAGAATTATAAGGGGAATTTATAATGCACTTAACAAGTATCAATTTTGAGTAGGAATTATTAAAGAATTTTGAATTGGATTTTCCAATTGAAGTTTAAGGGCTATAGTAACGAACTAATAAGAATAAATTGAATATTAATTAAATAATTGTATTTGTTGGCTAGGAATCCGGAAAATAGTAATTGTTCTAATTAAATAAACCATTCAATGATGGAAAGGTTAGTTTAAGAACTGTTGTGCTTCATGAAATAAAATTGCTGATGATGATTAATAGACGTATTGGAAAGTTTTATTTGAGATTTGTTGTTCATGAAGAAACATTGATGATCTTAAGTGCCGAAATTTTGAATTAGGGTTTTCATTTTTCAAGTAGAAATTATTGTAAGGTCTTTATAAGAATAAGTTAGTAATACCTATATCAATAAACAAATAATTATTTTGATTTTTCATGAGCAGTCAGTAAAGGACAGTGTTGAAATGAATAAACTTATAAGTTATTAGGAATAGTAGGAATAGGGCGTTTCTTTATTTGTATCGATATTTCCCGGTCCGTAATAATAACATTTGAACGGATGTGAAGTAATTGAATTTAAAAAAATAGATGAGGCTGTCAGAATTGAAAGATATTTGATTATTTAAATTTTTGGTTTTATGTATAATAAAATATAATTTAGTAAACCTCAATAGTTTGTTTCTTTCTTTTGCGAATAGACCCTTCCACAATTTTATAGGTAGCAGCTCCAAGGAAATAAACACCATCAATGTACCGCTCGCCATTTACCATCTTAACCAATTACATAGAGTACTTGGATCGTTTTGCTACAATACGTTCATAAGTCCACCTCATTTTAAAATGGAAGATAGTCGAACAGCTATGCAATTAATAAGTCAAGACTGTTAAATGGGAAAAATTTACTTGAAAGACGCATATTTCTCTATACCAATTCATAAAGATTTTAGAAAGTTCCTTAGATTCCGTCTAGGCTCTTATATTTATATGAATTTACATGCCTTCTTTTTGGCCTTCCAGTTGCCCTGTCCTTACTAAATTAATAAAGCCAATATTAAAACATTTCCGTCAAAAGGGTGTTTATGACAGTAGATCACAAGTAGGTATAAGAGTAGATCACTGGATCATAAAGGGGTTGGGACGCCACTGCTAAATAATGCACTTAACACTTTTTCCTTTAATTCTCTCTATTGTTGCATGACATCAAAAATCTAACAAGTTTGTGCAGTACAATCAGTACAGGATAATATTATTAGGCACTAGTCTAATCCACTAACACATTTTTATTTCACTAGTGTAGGCTAAAAATTCGAGTAAATTCACAATTCACCAGTTGACTTTATTCTTTTTTAATAAAAATCTTCGGGAATTTAGCGAGTATTTTTACTGAGTCTTTTAACTAAGCCCTTATAAGCAGGGAGAGAGTGAATTAATTCAATAAAAGATAGTTTTTCACTTTTTTTTTTAACGGTGAGAGAGATAATTAAATCTTATAAAAAAGAGCAAGAGTGAGAGAGGAAGCGCAAGGATGCACTGGAGAAAACGAAACTCTTCTGCGATCGTCTAGATAAAGACTAAAACATAGACAGTGGCGTATCCAGCCTAAGGCTCTGGGGGGGGCAAACCAGTTTTCGCTGGAGGCGGAAATTTTTTGAGGTGCCACGCACAAAAGCCCTTAAAATTACACATCTTGATGGCATATTCGCGCGCTTCTACTTATACAGGGTGTCCCAAAAAGATACCGACAAACTTTAAGGGGTAGTAGGGGACATCAAAACAAGCATTTTTGTTTATATAAACATATGTCCGCAAATGAGCCATTTGGGCTGTAGAGCAAAAAAACTGTTTGGTATCTAGTTTTATTCTTCGCAATAAATAAATCACAAAAATGCTTGTTTTGATGTCCCCTACTACCCCTTAAAGTTTGTCGGTATCTTTTTGGGACACCCTGTATATAGGACAAAAATAATTATTTTCCTAACAAGTGCGCAAAGTGATACTTTCCCGCACGAAAAAGCAGTTAGACGAACGACGCGAAGCCGAGTTCGTATAAGCTTTCAGTGCGGGAAAGACATTTTGCGCAAGTGTTAAGAACGATACTTTTTCTAAGAGTGTTTGAAGATTTACATAGCATCCAGAGGAGCTATACCTAATCTTTTTCATGTTTCCAGATGCTCAAAACTGGTAATTTTCTCTCTTAGTCCAAACTCCAATGTGTTTTTTTTTTCTTCAGTGATGAGCTTGACTTTATTTGCAACAGTGGTTGTGCTAGCGAGGTTTACTTAAAATTTGCTTTTCCTGCCAAAGTTCGAGACTAAACTTACCAGGATGATATTTTTCCATGTGACTTTTTATATTAGTTTCACATAGCAAAAAGTACAGCATCTTTTCAAAATATAGTAATAACTTTGCGCACACGAGTAGATAATATTATTTTTTGTTATTTGAGATATTTTTAAGAAATGAAACAGTTGTTCTGGGGGGGGCAATTGCCCCCTTTGCCCCCCCCTGGATACGCCACTGAACATAGATAAATATATTATACTCTTACCAAAGTCTCTAGCAGTAAATCTACGCGGAAGAGGGTGTGAGAGAGAGCAGGTTCATTTTTCTGCCCTTTATTCTGGGAGTACCAATATCGTATTGGTCGTTTGTTGTTTAACGCTAATGAATAATCCCAGTGTGCGATAAACATAGCCTGCTACTCCAACCAACACCTGCCTGCCATTCAACAAGCCGCTTCTGGGCGGTGTTCTGCTACAATCTGCTGTTGCCAAATTGAGTTCAAAAATGAAATTGAAAACGTTAATTGGAAAAGGAGGAAAATATATTATTTAGGGATTCAAGACAAAATTTGGCATTCTCAGTGGTGGGGATAGCACAAAGACCCAAAAGAGACAGAGAGATGTTGTCATACAAAAATTTTGTTTATTGTTCCGTCTATCTGTGTTTAGATGTCATTGGGTGGTACAGACTGGCACGACTGTCGCAATATTTTATATTTTTCTTGCCTAAAAAGAATTACTTTTTGCATAGCAACAGGAAGAGTATTGTACGGCGGGGTGCTTTGGCGCTGTTGCCACTGTGAACAAAAATTAATAAATAATTATTGTATATTCTTTGATTTGTTTGCTGTTTGTGTTTCCACAACAACTTTTTTTTGGGATAGACCAAAGATCAAAAAGATGCATAGAAAAAATTCCAAAATCAAAAATTGAGAATCTGACATAGCCCCAAACATTGCTAAAAAAACATGACTTCCTTTGCTCACCCTGTATAAGTGGATAAATGAAAGAAAAATACCGGTCAAACCCTGTACGTGATCTTAAAGAGTTGGCGAAGAATCTCTCGAATACCGCAACTCGATATCTCTTTCCGTTTCCATGTTGCAAAGCAACTATCCATCAGTTTAGTTCAATTATTAAAAGTAATTCAATTATTAATTGAGCGCTTAAAAATAATTTTTCCAATTATTTTAATTCAATTACCGACAGCTCTGTTGTAACAAATACAATAAGTTGTAAAATAAATGTTCTTATACCTAAATATATCCGTGAAACATTGAAACATGTAAATCTATGTGGCTCAGGGGCAATTCCATTTGTCCCTTGATAGCAAAACGACAATTATTAATTTCCCTACCGTTCTCAGGAAATACTAAAATGCATTCAATTTGTTCTATAATAGCGATGTTTGGTTTATTTTCAGGTAAGATTATTTCGTTTTATATAAATCAACATTATGGCCATAGGCGCCGGAACCATGGGGGCAATGGGGGCTTGACCCCCATAGTGAATTTTCTATGGTGGCCGAGCCCTCATATAGTGATTTAGGTATTGTATGTAGTGGGTAGGTAGAAAAATATTCAAATATTGAGTTCCTAACTATTTATTTTTAGGTACCTATATCAAATTTGTGTTTTATGTTTTCGTTGTTTTTGCTATACCTACATCAACAAACAGTTTAAATATTTTGTTGTGTAGTATTTGAACCTGTATTTTCAATTTAAGTCGTTAGATTATTATTCCCTTTCATTTGTTTTCATGATAGGTATGTTTACATCATATGAATATATCATGATGTACCAATACACTGGCTTTTTTACCTTGTTTATCATGGGAAATATTTCAAAAATTTGCTGAGGGCGAATCGATGGTCCTATCGAGCTGATATTTTGGTACCAATCTAGTGGAGTACGAGTTTTATCGAAAAATAAAATGCCCCTATCTGGTGCATACACGCTCTGCATTTACTTTTTCGAATTTTGACAAATAAAAAATACCACCGGATAGAAGAGCCAAAAATACGTCGAAAATGTCTTTTGATGTTTTTCGCTGTGGAGGGGTAACTCTAATAAGCTTTTTTGTAGTTCTTAATCAATGAGATCTACAAATTTTGTAATTAGGGTTTTTCTCCTAGGCTCTTCGTTTTTCAGCTAGAATGCCTTGAAATTTGAAAAAATTAAAATGAAAGCTGTTTTGAATTCGTTCTACTATAAATTAATAAATAAAGACCAAAATTTCGTGCCTGTGGCGAATATTCAAGGATTTCCCCCTGTAAATTTGTCCCCACTCCTCAAGACAAAATCCTGGCTATACTCCAATGGTGCTGCGGAAGCCGAATATAGCCGAGCTGCCAAGAATGCTCGAATTTTAATAATATGCAGGGATGATCAATGATCCAGCGTGGCGATCCTGCAGTGAAATTGTTATCTGTCAACTGGTCCCATTTAAGCCTATGTGTGTATAGTAGTCTAGTCCTGTCTGTATAATTTATTCTACTTCTGATCATTTTTGGAGCCCGAGCCACCATAGTGATTTTGAAATTCCAGCGCCTATGATTGTGGCAGAATTGTTTGTGTATTTGTTGTGCATTTCTCACAATTTGTCCTATAAATTTTAGTAAAATTATGATTGCGGCGTAAAAAAGTACCCTGCAGGCAATCAATTATTGTACAGGAAAGTTGCTATCCGGTTCTAGGAACATGAAACGTTGACAAGTAATGCTTTTGATTTTGCAAACAGCTATCAAACGAAATAAACTCTAATAAAAGAACTGTAGATTTTTCCTTGCTCAACTATACCCTAAAAGTAAAAATAAAAAAGTAATTGTCATTTTGTGTACTAAATGCCAAGGCTTCTTACATTACATTACATATTTCTTGAGGCGGTAAATGGAGAATAGAATCCACAAAAAAAAGTGTTCTGATTCCTATAAATTAAAATTAGATTTTTTTTTAGTTTCCAATGTATATTCCCAGTCCCAGTGCCGCATTGTTGGCGGTGAATTCGTAAAAATTGAAGACTTCCCATACCAACTAAGTGTAAGGTAATATAAGCTTTCTATCTCTGAATAATTTTTTGAAATATTTTTTTTTTCCAAGGGTTCGCAACCGTCACCTCTGCGGTGGGGCTTTAATTGCTGCAAGATACGGCTTATCTGCCGCACACTGTTTCATAGAAATAGCATTATACAGTGTGAGAGCTGGTAGCGATCTTAAAGAGACTGGTGGAACTATGACGAACATTTCAACTATTTATATTCATCCTAAAAGAACAAGTCCCTATGATCACGATTATGATATTGCTATTTTGGTGTTTGAGTATCCTCTTACGTAAATTTACTTCCTGTCTTGTTTTTTTACCTGCATAATTTGATTTGTTAGTTTTAGCCTAAAAATTCAACCAGTAAAACTACCAAGAAACAATGATTACCCGAAGCCTGGAATAAATGGCACAGTATCTGGATTTGGAGATACTTATCATTCGCAAGAACAAGGCTCAAAACTTTTGAAGGCCGCTCAAGTGTCTGTTACTGATTTTGAATCGTGCGAAAACCAATACCAAATGTGCCAAAGCCTTACTGAAATGGTGTTTTGTGCTGGGAGCGATAATATGGACAACAGTGCAGATTCTTGTCATGTAGAATTTTAATTAGTTTTTTTTTCAAATGTTTCTATTAATTTTGTTTTCAGGGAAATTCAGGAGGTCCTTTTGTAATTGACAACGTACTCTATGGTATAGTTTCACAGGGAAAAAAGTGTGACATGCCTGAATATCCTGGTGTCTACACAAACGTAGCAGAATTGAGAGATTTTATTTGGCTCAATACAGGAGTTTAAACAAAATTGTGCTTAGTATAAATTTTAAAAATTTGAAAAAAAAAAAATAATTAGGAATCTGGCCATATAATTTTGTGAAGATGGAATAAACCAACTAGGAAGAGGATTATTTCCTAAGCTATCCTTTTTGAATTAAACCAAAGATTGAATTTAATTGGACTTCGTAATCATATACCGGGTGATTCTCAGATGACGCTCGTCCCTGTAACTTTTTTATTTTCTAAGATCTTCATCTCATATTTTGGTAGAAGGTATAAGTCATTGGTGTGCATTGTTGAACATATTAAGTACCTTTCCGATACTTCCGGTTTTACCGGAAACGATCCCAACTTTGAAATTCTAAAATGGACTACCCAGTATATTTTTAGATATTTCAATTCGCCTCTTCATTAAATATGGAAATTTATACCGATATAATTTTTTGAACATTTCTGAAACCGAAATTACCAATTAGGTAGCACTTTTCATCTAGCGTGCCATGAGTAACATTAATTGGTAGGGATTTTTTATGGAAAGAGTAGTGGTTCACGGAGTCAACTGAACAACTTTTTTCCGACTAATAGATTGATACTACACACACAATAATATCGCCTTTCATTTTAAACTTCTGCTAGATTCTTTACTTTAACTTTAATTTTTTGAAATAAAATCTTTGAAATCACCCTCGTAATACAAGTTGATCACCTTAAATGACGTTAAGATTTCACACGCAGCGGAAACATTGACATTATTTTAGTATTCGGTGAGTGCAGGCAGATTACGACACACGCAGCTCGCGCATACGCTGCAAAATAACCATCGCCACCCAAGTCGACATTATTTTCTCAGATTGATATAAAGAAATCATAAGGACCGAACCAAATAACGTTGACGAACCATTCGTTTTAATTGAGGAAAAGAAAGTTGATGTGTTGGCTTTGGTTGCTATAAATAGGGCAGCTTCAACGAATGCGACATAAGTCAGGCTTCGGTATGGAGAATTCTCAATAAACATAAAAAGTCATTCAAATACCCGTTACATCAGCACTTGTATCCAACTGATTATGGCTGAGGCCTTGAATATTGCAACTGGTATTTACAAAAGTACAGAGAAAACAACTGATTTCCATTCCAAATATTGTAGTCTGATGAGCGTCGTTTTACAAAAGGCATATTCAATCGAAATAACAAGGAGGTACTGCTCAACTAGCACAGATTGTTCCTCAATAGTTAAAATGCTATATAACTGGTGTATTAAGCTATTAAGTCTTATAACATACTATAATGCCAATTCATAAGACCAATCACTCTTAAGTGTAATTTGTTTTATTGTTATCTTATGACAGTTTTGAAAAGAACGCATAAGAAAGTTACAAAATATTTTTATTGAAGATTTATTACCATATATATCATATAGCTAACCTCAATAAAAACATTAAGTCGCAAACTTATTTAACTCTAAATTGGCTTAAGAGAACATCTTATAACAATGGTTTATATAGAATACTTGATTTCGAGGGTACAAGACATTATTATAAAACACTTATACAACTTAAATATGCTCGCGTCGCCATGCGCGTGGGCGCCTATGCGGCGCTGTCTATAGTATTCGTCCGTTCCTGGTAAAATCGTTCACAATGTTGCCAGACTATTACACATTTTCCTTAGAGTAAGAACTATAAAGCGCCTAGACACATGCCCGAATGACTTTATTTAATTACACGTTGTATTTATTTTTATAGTAACTAGTAGGTAATTTTTTTTATGTATGGTGATTAGGAAAGTTTTTATCTCTCGTCATGTTTATTCCTATATAAGTGTCCAAAAAGATGTAGGTGTAGGTATCCATATAAGAATATTTTTATTATGAGATTGAAATTGTTCTTTATTTGATTTTCTAACAATTTTTGGTAAAACTTTGACTTTTAAGCAAAGAGACTCTATGTTACATGTAAACATTGTGGAAATGGTTTTAGTGATGGCAATTTATTTGCAATTTTTGACAAAGTCATTTGTGCACTAGACCATTCAACTTTTTAGTGTTTTTTTTTCAATACGGTTTTTTGTTGTTGTGTTAAAGGCTGTTCTGTTAAGAAATGAGATAGTACTGAAATGTTGTTGTTTTATATCCAAAAAATAGGGTTTAATAATGAAATGAAATTGATTAGACAAATTATTTGAAAGGAGGCGGGAATCACGTGACTACTGCCACAATACTGGACACACCGAAGTGCACACTACCGCCACCATGCTGTGGCAGTCATGCAACTCGCTGCATGAGTAAGACAAGGATAGGGAAAAAGGCCTGAGTTTCCTATCTTTAGTACGGGTTAATCTGTGCTCAAAATAATTTCTCAAGAGAAAATAAGGGAAATAGGAAATAACAAAATGTTACGGCTATATCGAGAAAAGCAAACCAGAGGTTCTTCAGGGAATAATAATTGAAGCCCAACTACTAGATATATTTGGGGTAGGTATAGTTAAAATATAGATGTAAAGCCATTTCTTACAACCAGCAACCAATATTTTTGTTGGACCAAACCCGAGAAAAAAGTTACTGCGAAAACATATTTAGGCTGTTAAGCTTACTGTTATAGTTACGTTGTATTTATTTTATTTCAAATAAATTAAATAATTTTACCAAGTACCCATTTTTTTTAAAAATTAATTTGGAAAAATATTTTGGAATTGAATCAAGTGATATTTTACACATTCTTGCAACTCGGCTTTCTGTTTTATAACCCTGAAATTTAAAAATTACTTTGTCATCAAATGTCATTATTATACGAGGGTCAACCTGTCAAATTTCCATGGATAATGCTACGCCAATAATATCTGAAAAGCATATAGTAATATTATTTTCTGATGTATAGGTAGGTACGCCATTTGTGATGGGCTTCACTGTCGCAGTTATAGTATTTCTGTAACAGTTCTGATTTATTCTCAGTTAGAAATATAATGCCAAATTTTTATTGGTAACATCTTTAAGACAAAACATTTTTATATAGTACAGCGGATTAGCTAACCTATTGTGCACTTTTTGATAAAGGCACCAAATTTGGCATAGAGGTAGATCGATGTAATATGAACAAATTTGGATGTGGAGCCATCGACCAACTGCCCCCCGGCGGCCGGGACGGCGATTTTCCAAAATGGCCGTTAGTGGGCACCCCGAAAGGCAACGGAAGTTAGATAAAGTTTGTTGCTGAAGGTTTTAGTGAATGTTTATTGATTGTTCTCAATTAAAACATGCCAGATATAGTTGGGGAGCTGGCGTCAAAAACATGCAAGAGTTTTTCAAAGGCTGATATTTTCAAAATATGTCGTACTTTAGTGTTAGAAGGCTAGTGTACAGTCAGCACTCACAGTTCCGGGACAGCTGGCCCTGGGGTGCGGGCAAAGTTGTAATTTTAAGAAATATCTAAACTATTTTCTCAAAGCTCAAAATTTATACAAATTTTGCAAATTATCTATTTAAAGGTCACAGATAACGTATGTAAATCGTCAGACGTCTAGTTCGTTGCAAAAAGGGGGCCAGACGTCCTCAAAGTTTTTATTTTATGGCATTTTCTTCAAATATATTTGTCAAATACCTGCAAAAATATATTTTGACGGGACACCGAAGAAAATGCCATAAAATAAAAACTTTGAGGGCGTCTTGACACCCTTTTCGCAGCGACCTAGACGTCTGACGATTCACACACGTTATCTGTGACCTTTAAACAGATAATGTGCAAAATTTCTATAAATTTTGAGTTTTGAGGAAACAGTTAGATACATCTTAAAATAACAACATTGCGCGCGTCCCAACGCCAGCTGTCCCGGAACTGTAAGTAACTGTAAGTGCTGACTGTACACTAGCCTTTTATGACTAAAGTACGACCTATTTTGAAAATATAAGCCTTCAGAAAATTCTTGCATGTTTTCGACGCCCACCTCCTGGACTAATAGTTTTTAAGTTATACAGGTCGAGGCACGAAAAACTTCTCACCTAGGTTTTCTCAGGTGTTATAGGTGATTAGCATAGAAAAGTGATTTATATTGTTGATATAGAACGCTCACTTCTGTTGTAGTCGCCCAGTGACATTTCCGACGGTACTGCCATAGCGGTGTAGTCATTGAACTAATATTTGGCGGGCCGTTTGAATCTCAGTTTTAAATGACTGGTTTGACATTTCAATTTTTTTCAAAATAAAGCAGTGCTCAGAAACTTCAAACTAAAATTTTATTGATTTTATTTTTATATATTTATGTGAGAATCACTTAATGGATAAAATAGTCTATAATCTAGATGATCTGGCGTATCTGACTCATGGAGCTGACTGAAACACTATTTCCAATCTGCTTTTTGAAAATGTCCATTTTCCCATTTGAATGGCCGTCATATTTGATCAAGTTATTTGTAATTCCCTTGAGCACGTGTGGAGCATCAAACAGTGGCACGATTACGATTTCTAGGTTGTTTATCTCCAAAAAAAAAACAACATTTCCATTGCGACAATAACTGCTTAAACCGGTTGCTTGTGATGCACTCTCGGATGCACTTATCACTTCTTTCACAAATTTACAATTCAAAACAAGAAACTCAACTCTCAATGACTATGCAGTCAAGAAAATAAATCAGATGACAAGATGACATATGCATTATGATGTTAAAGTGTGTTAAATGGACCTCTGCGTTTTTTGACTGGTTTTTATATCCACCATTCTATGTCGGTCATTGTCATTTTCTATTCACTAAACAAAGATAGCTAACTCATCGGTGAAGTCACAGATTAGAATAAAAACGAGGGGGACGTTAAGAAACGGCGATATGGGCGCACAGCGGTGTAGTCACGAACTAAAACAAAAAGTGGAGGGGTTGAATCCAGTGAATGTTCTATTTAAGAATATAAATCACTTTTCTATGGTGATTAGTCAAAAATTGCTCGGACACGTCAATTTTCTTTTTTGGGAGGACACATTTTATTGGTATTTTCACTCTCTACCCGCAAAATTTCAAATGGAAAGGGGGTTCGAGT